CCCTGCACTCCAGCCTGGGCGACAGAGTGAGACTCCAACTCAAAAAAAAAAAAAAGGTTCAGTGTCTCCCATATATATATATAATCCAACCATTCCACTCCTCAGTATTTACCCAGAAGAAAAATACATATCCATACAAAGACTTGTAGGTGAATGCTTATAGCAGCTTTATTTTTAATAGCCGAAAACTGGGGAAAAAACCCAAATGTGAATAAACATAACAGGTGAATAAACTGTGGTATATCTATAGCATGGAATATTACTCAGCAACAAAAAGGAATCAACTATGGATACAAGCAACAAAATGGGTAAATCTCAAAAAACAAACCAGTGAAAGAGCCAGACCAAAAGTATATACCATCACTCTACTCATATAAGACTGCAGAAAATGCAAGCTAATCCACAGTGCCAGAAGGCAGACCGGTGGTTGACACGGGCAGGAGGCAACTTGGAGGCTGTGGGTATGCCCAGTACTTGGTTGTGGTGATAGTCTCACAAGTCAAAATTTATCAAAGTGCATGCTTTAAATATGCACAGTTTATTGTATGTCAATTATATCTCAGTAAAGCTATTAAAAAGTCTGCCTCATCCTATAAGAGCTGATCCTGTTAATATGACAAGTAGCAACAAACAAGTTTCCTAAATATGCCCTCAGCTCCTTTATATATCATGACTTAGGGTTTTTATTTCTCTGAGAGTTTTATTCTATTTTATTTATATATATTCTTTGAGTCAGAGTCTCACTCTGTCACCCAAGCTAGAAGGCAGTGAGTGGCACGCTCCCAGCTACCGCAGCCTCGACCTGCTGGGCTCTGGCGATCCTTCCGCCTCAGCCTTCTGAGTAGTTGAAACTACAGGTATGTGCCATCACGCCTGGCTAATTTTTTAATTTATTGTAGAGATGAGGTCTCACCAAGTTGCCCAGGCTGGTCTCGAACCTGTGGGCTCAGGCAATCCTCTCACCTCAGCCTCCCAAAGTGTTGGGATTATAGGCATGAGCCATTGCACCTGGCCAGAGATAGTTTTAATTTAGATATGCACAAAAGAACATAAAAATTACACTCCTGACTAAAAATTTTTCATGTCCTTTGGTCTTTTCTGTTTTCCACAGATCAAACCAACTAAAAAGTGGGGAGAAAATGAAAACAAACACCACAATATGTCTTTCTGAAACGTAAGTATACATATTTTAATTTAACAATAAATTTATATTTTAAAAACAGGACATGTATACGTAAGACTACACAGCATAGCTAACATGGACCAAGTCCATACCGGTAAGCTTTTGAGAACCATTTACTATGTTGACAGGAGTCTTGGCACAGGCAGCGTAAGAATAAATAAAGGTGCTTTGGGAAGAGCGTAGTGATTGACGGGGCAGGTAAAGAAGGAGCCTCGTTGTGGATGCCACAGCAGGAACAGCTCCCTGCAGTGACATGTGCAAAGTTCCAAATCTCCATGACAGAAACAGCCCCACCCATCCAAACAGCCTCCCAACTTGGCTAGCAACTGCGGGGGGGGG